ACGCTGAGATCCGTATTCGCTTGGCGTCTCCTTTTAATAAAGATGCGGCTCTAGTTGCTGCTGATTGTCCTGTCTCTACAGATTTGGTAAGTGAGCGACCAGTGCTCTTTGTTTATTCAGTTTGTTCGTATTGAACAAACTATTACACCGAGTGTAAACATGTTAACACCACAACCAAACTTTAACCTCGTGTAGGATTTTCACCGCATTTTGTGACCGGAATAAACGCACGCGGCTTTCTGACGCTACCTGCCGTGTGCATCTAAGTTTCTGGGAAATGCTGAGGGTTTTTTTTCTCTCATTCGCCGTGCGGTATCAAACATTGCATTAAAAATACATGATTAGAGCAGTTCCTCGAATCAAATATCTTGTTTGTCGCGAGGGACATGAATGAATTCCCTGAATGAAAGAGCCAAACTGCAGTTAAAGTCCACCATTTAATAATTTGGCAAATAATTCGACTACAGATGTCCATGTAAACACCATCACTTTCTCCCCTGTGTGTGTGTGTTTTGACTCTAAATGTCAGTGCGTGCCCAAATAGACACTCCCACACCATGCCTCTTTTCTTTATCCAACACTCCCCCCTAAACAGAGCTGGACACGCCCACTTTTCTGACTTTTTCCAAAGTCGAGGTGTGAAAACACCCTGCTGAAACGAGGGGGTTTCATGGCCCTTTAAAAGATATTAATGACAATGACATTAAACAGGACCAACAACAAGAAACAGAAAACAAAAAAACAAAAAAAGAAAATCTACTCATTCATGTTACTTGTATCAAAGACAGGCAACCAATGACAAATACCAACACAGGAATAATCTACAAGTAAAAAAAGAGTAATCTACAAGTTCAGTGAATAACTAATACTGTTATTGTGGTTAAATTTCCACTTAGAAGTCTTGAAAAGCTGCTACATCTTTAGTGGTCAGTCTTTTACCATCAATCACAGCAAAAGGACCGTGAAAGCCAGCTCTCTTTCTCTCTTGCCTCGCTTTTTCTACCATCGGCCACAGGAGAGACCTTGCATCCTTATCTTGCTGGAAAGATCCTCGAAGATGTTTATTTTATTTTCCCCTAGATAGTTTAACGTTTTGGCATCATTCTAAACTTTGTGCCGTTGTGATCACAATGAAAACAGGACTATGATGCGGCGAGAGGATTTTTCTGCAGCAGATCTCGGTCCCAAACGGTGTGCGATGTCCACTCCGATGGGCAGGTCTGCAGCGATAATTGGGGAAACCTGCTTGAAGAGGTCAATGATCATCTGCTTTACATTCTTTCGTTTTTTTTCTGGAATGCCATTAACATGAATTTCACCTTCTCTTGTATGCGTTCAAATTATTACACCTCTCACAAAGTTTGTCATTGACCGTCTCTAGTTTTTAAATTTTCCTTTCAAATGCTTTGGACTTTTCGTTCAGGCACTTTACCTCTTCACCTTTGAACTCGAGGGAGTTGATTATCTGTTTAATAGAGTTTGAGTTTTTAAGTTTTTTCAAACCCATGAATTTGGCGCAAATTCTCTTCGTACATGCCTTCCATCCTCTGCAAGAATCTCATTAGCATTGCATCACTCACCGTGGGACTGTCAGAGCTTGGTTTACTTTTGGCAGGATTTGGTTTGGGTGTTTCGAGTAAAGTCACAAATTGCCCAGACTGTGTATCCATTTCAGAAACTAGATTTCTCCTTGCATAGTTGTGTATTGCGATTATAGTTTCTTCTTTTTCGTCCATAGTCTGTGCAGCAGTTTTAGCAAACATGTTTAAGTTAGCAAATAGCTATCAAAAGTACTCATCTCTCAAACTCGGCATACAAGGAAGGTAACAAAGAAAATAAACAAATAAAGCGATGGCTGTTTAGCTCATAACTTTTGCAACATCTTTTAGTTAGTCCCTGAACATGAACTTATTCCCGGGTCTAAGTACATTTTTCAAGAGCTACAGCAAAAGCAACATGCTACGAAGCCGAAAATAAAAATCTGACAGCACGGAAGCGCGTGAAATTACTCAAAGTAATGGAATTTATTACACTTGACGACCAGCCATTCTCCGTAGTGGAAAACACTGGATCTCAGTGACTGGTAAGACGTCTGCTTACCGGAGATATACAGCCATGTGGCAGATCACATTCACAAGCTGCTTCATAACGACTCCGTGATGAGCTTTACCACAGATATTTGGTCTTCAGATGTAAGCCCTAGTAGTATGCTTAGTCTTACTGCGCAGTGAATTGATTCTGATTTTAACCTTAACAAAGTCTGGCTTCATTACAAGAATTTACTTTACACTGCGGTGGCAATCTCTCAAGCCTTCACTGACATGTTAGAAAAATAAAAAATTGACAGACTAAGAGTGCACACAGTGGTACGCGACAATGCGAGGAACATGGCTAAAGCCATAATGGACAGTGAGATTGAGTTTGCCCTGTATGGCGCATTTCCTTCCAGTTGGTTGTCAACGAAGGCATTTTAAGCCAGAGAAGTGTGACAGAATTGGTTTGCATGTGCAGAAGGATTGTAGGTCATTTTAAGCACTCGCAGCTTGCTTCTTCACGTCTACAGTCCGTTCAGGCACAAATGGATCTTCCACTAAAGAGACTTAAACAGGATGTAAATACTAGGTGGAATAGCACCTTTTACATGATGCAAAGTCTTTTGGAGCAGAAAAGTGCGCTTGCTGCATTCGCTGCAGATTACGAACTACCGGTCACTCTCACTGCGCAGCAGTGGGCACTGATGGAAAGTGTTACTACACTTCTCTCTCCCTTTGAACAAATAACTAAAGAGATTAGCAAAGAGGATGCATCTGCTGTTGATATTATCCAGTAACCAAGTAACCAAAGAATTAAAACATTGAAAAAAGCATTCCTGGTTTCAGTGCAGTACTTGACCTGCGATATAAGGACAAGTTTTTTTAAACTGACATAAAACGGCAGAACCATAAATTAATAGTCGAGGAGATTAAGAAACATGGACATCCTAGAGACAGACGTGCAGAATCTAGTAGGTAAGTTCAATATAAAATATAATAATAGGCTATAAAATAGGCTTTTCAATCATTCTCGTTTTTAACACGTCTGATTATTTTTTAGATATCATACAACAAAAGGGCTCGCACAGAAGCAAAAGAATCTTTAACAGAATCTATCTCTGCCATATTCAACGAAATTGCTGTTTTCTGTGTTTAGGTCTTGTTCTTTCCTTCAGTGATTGAGCTTGTCTACAGCAGCTGTTCATCAGTGTCTAAATTCACTCATTAGCCGCATTTCCACTATCGGGCCAGTGCGAGCCAGGGCTTTAATCGGGCTGGGCTGGGCCAATAGCCCGGGGGGTTAAAAAATGAGGCCGAAATCATATCACGTTTCCACTGTCGGGCTAGTAGCTCACAGTGCGTCACGCAAACACCGCCCACAGAACTTCCCCGAATCAAACGTCACACAACCCACCCACTTCAGCGGGAATCAAGCAGATAAAGCACACCATAGAATCATCACAAAACAAAACTATTAAAATGAAGACAACCGAAGCAAAAAAATGACACGTTACTGTACAGCAGTACATGAAATGTCTATACGCACAGACCTGTGTATTTCCATTTATTACATTTGTTTACTCGCCGACCGACTGTTGGCATTGTAATCGAATACTCTCGCCACTAACGGAGGGACCCATCACAGTGAGCGCAGCCGTCCATAATATAAAGCCACAGAAATTCTCCTTTATAACTAAATGTGGCATGTATTGTTTGAGGATATAAAACACATTTTGTGTTTGGGCTTTCCCCCAATGCGTTTAAAACTGCGCTGCACAGGACTGGGTGACAGAAAAAAAGGTAGGCTAGATTCTGCATTCACTCACCCAAATAATGCTCTGTTTGTGCGATTTGATTAATATCATCGTATCCAAATACTTTATAAATAATCTTTCAAACCATCTCCGGTGTTTATTGTTTTTAGAAAATATCTAAAATCTTATTTTTTCAGATAGGTCTTTGTAAAATGAAAGTTAGGCTATATGTGGCTTTGAAACACTTTGATTTATATATTGTATATAGGCTACCTACATTATTATAGCTAGCTTTTGTTTATTTTATCTTGATTCATTTATTTAATGCGATTTTATATATATCCGATATTTGTAATTCTTATTTGTACTGTAATCTTCCTCTTTTAATTCCCATAAAATGAGAGCGATTGTTGTGGTTCGCATCTTACTTTCTCTGTTGTTTTGAAACAACAACTAACCTATTGACCAAAATGCGGTACTACAGAAGCAACACAACTCCCTTTTATTCATCTTAATTAAGCGAGCTGTTTAAATTTGAAAATATACTTTTTCTATTTTTTCCAACACAACTCTTTTAGTTTTAATAGAGAAACATAAGTGAATTGTTTAATGTGAACATAGTTACATTCTTTGGACCAACTGAAGCCATGATCCATTTTTTTTTTGTGTACAGTTGAATAAGGGAATTAAATATATATAATAATTCCCTTAATATATAAAATATATATAATTAAATATATATACTCAATCATTTTCTTTTTGGCTTAGTCCCTTTATTAATCAGAGGTCGCCACAGCGAAATAAACAGTCAACTCATCCAGCATATGTTTTAAGCAGTGGATGCCCTTCCAGCGGCAACCCATCACTGGAAAAAAAACATTCATACACTCATTCACACACATACACTACAAACAATTTAGCTTACCCTATTAACCTATAGCACATGTCTTTGGACTGTGGAGGAAACCAGAGGAAACCCTTGCGATTATGGGGAGATAATGCAAACTTTGGTGATAATGCTAGAGGGTGATGATGGGGTATTTTGATGCTAGAGAAATGGGTGCTTCTTATTTCTTATTTGTGCATCCTCGTTTCCTCTCCTTGATCTTGATCAGTTTCCAGGTTGTAGGATGGAGCGAGGTAACGAGGAAGGACTCTGAGAAGCATCGTTTGTGTTGTATTACTACTGAATCTTGACTACATTATTTAACAGGATTCTGTGAGTGCAGATGAGGCAGTTCTGTCGAATCCTGCTGATGAAGAGTTTGAGGGAATCGGGGACTACGAGGAGTCTTTTTTGGCTGAATGGTGGCAGGAACCCAAAACTAAAGGAGACACAGGAGAACCTGTAGAATAAAATGGATATTATTATTATGGTGATTAGAGAAAGCCAACATACTGTTATACAACATAAACTTCTTCTGAGACTGTTTTAAGAATGCATCTTCTCCTAGACCTTTCAGACTACAACCACCAAACTATTCTGAATTAAGTTGTATCCTAATATATTGGACCAAACTTTGCGATCTCATAACAGGCACCAGCCTGTCATACATATTTAAATGTGCTGTGTGTATGTTTTTACCACAGCAAAAACTATTTTATAATATGTTTGCAGATATTAAAGAAACGTAATATGTTAACTATAGGTGGGCATCGATTTTTTTTTTTATTATCTAGAATAATCTCACTGTAATCTTGGTTAATCTAGATTAAAATAGCTCATTTGAATTCTGCCGAAGGCATTTAGAATATGTGTACAACCCAAATAATATCTAAATACAAATCTTTGAGAACGGGTTTCTCAAGCCAGGTAGCGGTGAGATGACCAGTGGCTCATCTCCGGTTTCCAAAATACAGTACAAACTGCTTGAGAAACTGTTCTACTATGATAATTGGTGATAAAAATAAATTATGTTCAATAAGATGTTACTTGTGTTTACTAAATGTTTATTCAGTTAAACGAATTTTGAACTGTAGGCCTACATAAGCTCGAAACAGTGATTTTTGATTACCTTAATCCGACTTAAGTCATAACTGAACTAAACAGAAATAGAATTAAGACATGGAGTGGCCTATGCATAAATTAGTGGCACTATTGAAGTAAACACCACGATCAAACTATTACCGCCATGTAGGACTTTTTGCCATATTTTCCGACAAGATCCACACAAGCGGCTGTTAATAAAGGACCGTGCACATGCACACACATCGTGAAAAGCAGAAGTTTGTTTTTATTTCCACTTGTTTGCATTATTAAATTCCATAACACTCTCACCAGTCCTTACTAATTATTTGTGTCTAATACCCCAGTCTGTCATGGGGGATGAATGAAATGTTCATGAGTTAAAGTGAAACTGCCGAATTGCAGTTAAAGTCACCCAAAATTACAGGAAACTCGCATGAAAGCACTTCACATAATCACCTTAAATATATTATTGTCTATTAAGGCAAACAACTAGACTACATCTGTCCATGTAAACATAGTTAGTAGTGGAAGAAAGTCAACAATCCAAAAGGGCATCCTGCTAATTTGATTCAGAAGGGCGCTTTTTTGTCAGATGTCTCACCGGTCAGGTGTACATCCATGCAAAAATATCACGGTAAAAGTCATCATAGCTTGCATAGAATAGACCCAGCTCCCAAACTAACTTTGAGAATAGATTAACAGCGATGTTTTCTTTTAACGCAGCACGTTAACGCCGATAACAGCCCACCACTAATGTAAATATACTGGTTTATGTAAAAAACATTGCTAAACTTAGTTATTCTACTTTGGACATGTGCATTCCATGTTGTAATGGTTTGTGTGTTTGTTTGTTTTTTCTATCACCTGCTCACTGCTAGTTTACCCAATTGTTGTTCAGCACTCCAGAATGTCTTAGTGGAAATACACTATATTTAATTTCAGTCATGAAGCTTCAATGCTTCAATGTATATGGCCACAGCTAAAAAAAAATGCAAACTTGTGGACAGCTAATGCCTCTAAAATGAGATACAGATTCAAAGTTTAAAAAAAAATACACTTTAGATTTTAGTTTTTAACTAGCAAATAATATAAATATTACAAATGTAAACATTAGCAGTGCAGCACACATTTTAATACCATGTCCTAACAGCATGCAACATGAGAAGATTCTACTGACAAGCGATTTGACCGTCTGCACCACTAGAGAAACATTTAAATACCATCTATTCAGATGCACACAATAGTGCACTGCACTTAAATTAAATGGTGTATTAAACCTCTTTTAAATTATTAAAAGTATATGCTGATCGACTGATATTTGTTGGTTAGTTTTAACTTTAATTTACAAATGTTTATTTTATTTTTAATATCTGAGAGAAACAATCTGCTGCTGCTTTTAGTATGGTAATAAATGCCATGTAAAATTATCTTGTAACTCACATTGGTGGGGGGAAGATCGTTTTCATGGAAGTTTATGCTGTTGAAAGCTGCTAGAAATATAAACTATTACTAAAATATAAATTACAGTGGTAACACTACAATAACAGTATATGAATAATGTTGTAATAATTTGTAAACTAAACAATATTTTATTATAAGTTAATGTTGAGTCAAGGCACACACTAATCATAAACTAACTTTAACTACAACATGATTCTTAAGTGTGAATGAGTGTAATGAGTTCATGTGTGAATAACGGCTACCTTAATTACTTGTTAGTACATGGTGTTCATGTATTAATTAACATTAATGTTTAAGCTAAATGTCACCAACAGGAACACAAAAAAGTATTTATGTACAATTATGTCATGACTTTACTTGGATGGTGTAAGGATGCTGAGTCTCTCCATAAAATTAAACCCTGAGAACTGTTATAGAACTCTACACGAGCAAGACCACGAGAATAAACAAAACAATAAACTTTCTAATCTGAGAAGATCAGCTAGGAAACCAGTTCTTCAACTGTCCCAGTCACCCATCCTGTGCCCACCTCTCTGCCCTCGATCTGACATTTTCTACTAGCGCAGCTCACTCACATTCCAACCAGATTCTCCAAGTTTTATCATATATTTACATGGTGTATCTTGTGGCTCTATATTTATTTTTGATAGCATTTTAAATGTCTCTGTGTGATTGGTAAAGTGGTCTTAATTTCACTGTAATATTTTACAATTTCCCTTATATCAATTCATTTGGGTTTTGACTTTGATGAGATCTTTGCCTGATGCTCCACTCCAGGGAAAATGGTCTACACGTCTACTCATGAGCAGGCAAGGGTCTTGGTAAAGCTATTATTGTGTTGAATTTATGGTGATTTAAGTATTTAAGGGAAAGGTACAGAAGTGTCTGTGGGTTTTTAGCTAGAATACTAGCTAGAATACCCCATTGCAGTGTATGAGTCTGAGCTGTGCATCAAGGCTTATATGCTGCAATGTACTTCTACATGGTCAGGTATTAATCTCTAACTCGTAACTGTATCTTTGGGTAAGTGATGTTGTACATTTCTGAATTGGCTTATTTTGTTTATATATGTGAATCGGAATGGAAAATCTTTGCCTGACAAATAAATGTAAAATTCTTGTTTAACTCTAATATCTCCTGAAATCATTTAAATCTAGTACAATTGTTTAGATTTCGTCACCTTGGAATTGTAAGGTTCTATCTGCGTTCGGAGTGATTTTTAGATCTTAAGCTTCAAAGTTTTTGCATTCCATAGCATTGTTGTTGCATTCCATAGTATGTGTAACTTTTTTTTTAATAAAAAGTCTTAAAATGTAAACAACTTATAAAAAACATACCATAATGTAAATAAGTTGTCATTAAATAAGTATGTCAATAACTCAATTTGGACAAAAATGTCAAATAGAACCATATTATTCTAAGGTGATGATTTGTTTTCACAGCCTATGACCAGGATTACTCATACATTCAGGTTCAATCAATAGAGCATAGGCACAGCATTAGAGACCTGCTGATTTCTGACAATCACTGACTTAGTATGATATATGGCTAATCCAAACTTTCTTCTTGTATGAGCAAGCATGGGGCGGCCTAATATTACTTAAAGAAAATTGGTTTACAGTTATATCCTCTAAGAACCAGAACTGGCGAGGATGTGTCGGTGTGCAGATGTAACTGGCCAGCATGCTGACTCTAAGCGACTTTGGGTAAAAGTATCTTCAAAAATACATTTAATGGTTTCTTAAGCACATGCATTGGTCAGAGTAAACAAGTCCTTCCCTAGTTGGAAAATTGAGGTAATATGCAAGATATGTATCACCCTACTTATCTGATATTATTTATATAGAACTGTTATAGTATTTAAGGCAAGTATATTATAAGTAAATAATTAAATTACCTAAAATGAATTAACTCTTTCACACTTTATAGAAACATAATTAAAATTGTAGAACTATTTAAATTGTTGTACTATTTCCTTTGTTACTAATTACACCCAGGACTAGGCATGATAAGATCATAAATCTACAATGTGAGTATTCAGCCCTGAGATGCTTAAAAATGATTCCTGCCTGTAAATACAATTAAGCAAATAATTTAAATATAATTTGTTTAAAATAGCTATTATTGTTAAGAATTATGATGTCTTAACATGAATTGAATGGACTCGAAACAAACCTGATCAAATTACATAAACTATAACTAATTTGTTGCAGTAATGCATGCGCATAGATTATTAACACTGAAGGCGCCAAGGCGGGCATGTGCATCAATTTCAAATGCTAAAGATGCACAGGTCGGTTAACTAATGTGCAAGGGTGACAATGGTAGCAAGGAAGAAACAATGAAGAACTGATCAGGAGATTATATAAGGTAAGGTATTTTTTACATATGTGATTTGGTGTAGACAATTTTTATGACGTGATTCTTTGATATGACCGTTATTGACTAGTTAACTTTGGATATTTTAACATAATATATATATATAGTTGAAGTCAGAATTATTAGATTTTTGTTTAACAGAGAGCAGATTTTTTTCAACGCATTTCTAAACATAATAGTTTTAATAACTTATCTCTAATAACTGATTTATTTTATTGTTGCCATGATGACAGTAAAAAACATTTTACTAGATATTTTTCAAGAGGGGCTTATTATTCACAGTCTTCAAAAAACCTATGGGAAAATCCTATAGGGATTTTCACGAGGGAACCAGTTTTATGCTAGCAGCCGATTAGCCTACAAAGTGACGTCATAGTTCCTCCACTCTATACGTCGTGCTTTATGTTAATTATTAATATTAGTATTTTACCTACGGTCGGCTCTTTCTAAAGATGACCTCCCGGGAGAGACATGGGGCGGCATCATATTCCACCTCATCTTGTCCCTCAGGGCAGCTTGAAGTAAGTTTGTGTTGCTAAAGTAACGTTTATCAATAACATCAATAAAAGTTTTATTCATGTACAGTGTGCAACAGTTCTGGCTTTATTTAACACTTTTATTGTTTAAATGTTGTGTTTAGAAACGTTATAAATTTTTGGTTTATTGTGTAAAAACGTTTAATTTATATCAAGATACAGTGTATAGATGTCAATATAAAATAGATACTGCCTTCTTTTCTTTTAATGCTACTTGGTCAGGACCAAGGACAAGTCACTTTTCCAGGTAGGCACTGAATGATTGCATATAAATTCTAAAGCTTACAGAAAGCTTATCTGATG